CCCAGCTATTTTTTGGTTGCAGCCATTATTGTTGTTTGGCGGGCCCAGGCTGGATTTGAATCCGCCACCTTAGGTGTATGTGGCTGGCGTCTCAGCCACTTGAGCCACAGGCACCGAGCCACTATTTTTTTTTAAGAGACAGAATCTCACTTTGTCACCAGCCTCCCGAGTAGCTGGGACTACAGGTGCCTGCCACAATGTCCAGCTATTTTGTTGTTGTTGTTGTTGTTGACGACATTTAGCTGGGGCCAGGATGGAACCTGCTACCCTCGCTATATGGGGCCAGCACCCTACTCATGGAGCCACAGGTGCCACCCTGGTCTCTGTCCATTCTTCACATGCAGATTCTAATGCCACTGTTGCATGAAGTCTTTGTGATTTGTCTCACTTTCCCGGCTGGAGAAGACAATGTTCCACTTCTCCGTTTATGTGATCTACTGGTTTCCAGAAATCAGAATCAGTTAGGGGAAATTTTAAGATATGGATCCCTAGAGAGTCTTTCATTAAATAGATCTAAAATGTAGCCCAGCCAATGATATTTTTAAAAGTATAACATACTAATTATACTGTCCTTTGATCATTATCAAGACTTCAAACTTTTACTGGGGTCATTGGTAATTGATACATACAGCTCACCTCCCTTACCAGGATATGGGAACAAAAGTTGTGCCATAGTCATTATTTTTTCCCATAGTTGTATATTTGCAGAATTTAACATTCATTGGCACATGTCTTTTCAAATAGTTGTTCATTTTGGATCTGGAGAAAGTGCTTCAGAAGATGCAGTCATGATGAATACACCTGTGGTGAAATCTGCCTTGGAAATGGGCTTTAGTAGAAGCCTGGTAAGACAGACAGTTCAGAGCAAAATCCTAACTACTGGAGAGAACTACAAAACAGTCAATGATATTGTATCAGCTCTTCTGAATGCTGAAGATGAAAAAAGAGAAGAGGAAAAGGAAAGGCAAGCTGAAGAAATGGCATCAGGTATTTGGGAATGTTATTACTTTCTAGTGGAGCTCTGAGGACTGTCTCACATGTTACAGGCCAGCATCCTTGTCTCACACCCACTAACTCCTGTCAGCCCACCAGTCATTCCAAGGTCCTTCTTTTTGTTTCTTTCAATTTCAATTAATTAATCGATTGATTTTTACTTTTGGATTAATGTAAGGGTACATACCAGTGATTTTCTACTGGTGTGCCATGAGAGGATCTTAGGTGTGCTGTGAAAATGTTTAAAGATTATTAATTATTTTGGAAAGCCGTTCAAGCACAGTAAGTATATCCTTTCTTATACTCTTTTTTTGATCAACGTAAGTTAAGTGTGCTGTAAAAGTTCAACTATTGGTTCCAGTGTGCCATGAGATAAACAAGATTCAAAAACACTGATATATACAATTACCAAGCCAACCCTTCTTTTCTGCGCCTCTCAACTATTCCTAGCTGAGAACCATTGACTACTGCTTTTTTCTGTATATTTTTCTTCTGATAAGATTCCCTAATTTAGGCAAGTCAGACAATTTGAGCATAACAAGCTCTTTTCTTGAGTTGTATTGCATTACTTTCTCATGTATAACAAATTTAAACTTTTTTTGGTGGGGGTTGGGGGGACAGATTCTGATTTTGTTGCCCTGGGGTTGAGTGCCATGATGTCATTATAGCTCACAGGAACTTCAAATTCTTGGGCTCAAGTGATCCTCATGCCTCAGCTTCCCAAGTGGCTAGGATGACAGGCTCCTGACACAATGCCTAGCTAATTCTATTTTTAGTAGAGATGGGGTATTGTTCCTGCTCTGGCTGGTCTGGAATTCCTGAGCTGAAGCAATCTACCTGCCTCAGCCTCTTGGAGTGCTAAGATTACAGGTGTGAGCCACCATGCCTAGCCCAATAAATTTAAATTGTTTTTAAAAAGTTACATGCAGTCTTTTTTTCAGATTTCTTCAAATCATATTCTTGATTTATTTGGCTCCCTAATCCTTGCTAGGTCCTTATACAAAAAGTAGAATTTATGATGAAATCCTAGGGCTTGGTAAGAATTTCCTGCCCAACCCAAGAGGAAACTGAAATTGGTAATCATGAAGATTATATTAAGTCTTAGCCACCCAAACAAGTATTTTGAGTAGTCATTTTTTTCAACAGGTATTTATTGAGCATGAACACCAGGGCTAAATATTCTACTAATCATTGTGATTGTTCTCAAGGAGCATGTCGATTAGCTTGGGAGGTCAGAATGCAAAAGACAAGGTTAAGGAGCCAGCAGACAGGTAGTGTAAGTCGGGGTATCAAGTTGGAAGATTTTTCTTTTTAAGCTTATAAGTAAAAATAGGAATAGAGAACCATATTGCATGGCCTTGCAGCAAATGTTTAAAGTTGGGACTTCTAGATTGAAACAGATTTGTGTTTAAATTCTGGTTCCCTCATTCCCTAGGTTGACAAATTATTCAAGCAGACCTCAGGTTTCTTATCTGTAAATGGGAATGATAGCATTAGTCCCATAGGGTTGCTGGAGGAATTAAATGAAATGTTGCAAGTAAAATACTTTAGCACATGAGCAAACTTAATTTGATTTGGGAAGTGGGAGAGACGTGGTGAAAATAAGAGCCTCAGAAAAATGAAAAGATTTGAGGGTTGTTAAGCAGTAATGAAATCCAGCTATGGTTATGTGAAATCACTGTAATAAATCTAGTCACCTTAGTTTTGTGACTTTGTGGGAGTCAGAGAATAGTCTTTAATTATGGATTTGGCAGGGTTAATAGAGAAAAGAGCAAATAAGAAATAGGGAGAGTTAAGTGTGAGGGATCATCATTGAAACACATGACTGATACCTCCATTAGAAGCAGGGCCAGGGGAGGCGCCTGTGGCTCAGTAAGTAGGGCGCCGGCCCCATATACTGAGGGTGGCGGGTTCAAACCCAGCCCTGGCCAAACTGCAACAACAACAACAAATAGCCCGCCGTTGTGGTGGGTGCCAGTAGTCCCAGCTACCTGGGAGGCTGAGGCAAGAGTTTGAAGTTGCTGTGAGCTGTGATGCTACAGTACTCTACTGAGGACAACAAACTGAGACTCTGTCTTAAAAAAAAAAGGAGAGAGCTCTTGCTAGTTGAATTGGGAATAATATGGACATCTTGAAAAGGTGAAGTACAGATGTGTTAGCAGTGAGAATTATTAAGGTAGAAGGGTAAGTTGTGGTCAGAGAAAAGAATTTTATAGTTTTGAGATTAATTCACTTCTAGAAAGGGGAAGGCAAATAGACTTCTTTTTCTGTAATTTATTTCTCATTAACTTGTACCTCATAGAGATGTACTTTCAAAATTTTGGGGGACGTTTATTTTGAAAACAGGCAATTAAATTTCATAGTGATTTAAGCACCCAAAGAAGGAACAGCCATATTCCATAAATGTAAATTAACTACGGGATTTTGGGTGATGTGAGATTGAAGGACAAACATTTGCTTTTAAAAATAATCAGGCTTGGGTGGTGCCTGTGGCTCAGTGAGTAGGGCGCTGGCCCCATATACCGAGGGTGGTGGGTTCAAACTCAGCCCTGGCCAAACTGCAACAAAAAAATAGCCAGGTGTTGTAGCAGGTGCCTGTAGTCCCAACTACTCTGGAGGCTGAGGCAAGAGAATTGCCTAAACCCAGGGAGTTGGAGGTTGCTGTGAGCTGTGATGGCATGGCACTTTACAGAGGGCGATAAAGTGAGACTCTGTTTCAAAACAAAATGATCAGGCTTGCTTCATATGAATTTTTTTTGTATGTTTTTTTAAAATTATTTTTTATTTTTTATTTATTTTTCCTACATATACATGTATATTAGGTTTCCGCTTTTGCCTTCACAGAATTAAAGGCCAAATTTAATGACAATAATAATATTTAACATAAGGACTGAGAACAAAAACCTCATAAAGAACGACAGAAGATAAATATATTCAGAAATCAGACAATTGGTGCAACGAAATATTAGGCAATAATAATAGTAATAATGCAAAGAAAGTAACATTCCCATTGTCAGAAGTATGTCTATTATAGAATACTTTGATCAGTTAACTTCTTATTTTGTTTTTTCCAAAGTCTCAAAAAAAATAGACAATATTTATAAGTAAAAGTAAAAGATAATTTCAAAAAAAAAAGATCATGCCAAATCTTATAGACAATAGAAAAAGAAATACTTCAAAATCATTCTACTTAATCTAATAACAGGATACAATCTTAATAACAGAATACACCTGATATTAAAATTGGAGAAAATATATTATTATAAAAGGGAAAGTACAAACATATTTCATTTATAAATGAGGATGCAATATGATAAACAACATATTAACATGTTGAATTAAAAATCAATGTTTAAGTAATGTACTTTGGTCAAAATTAAATACAATTTATGTGAGAATTAGTCACTATTTTCTTTTTTTGAATACATAATCATTAAATACTTGTTTGTTACAGAATACACAAGACAAAATACAAATAGCAAACAAAATTTTTTTTCCTTGTTATGTTTTTACCAAAGTCTAAAAAAAGACGACTAATATGTATAAATAAAAGTAAAAAATAATTTCTAAAAAAGAAAAGCAGATCACACCAAGTCTTATAGACAGTAGAAATAGAAATACTTCAAAATCATTCTACTTAGTCTGGATACCCATGATAGTAAAATTAGAAAAAATATATTATTACAAAGGGAAATTACAGATATATTTCACTGATGAATAAGGATGCGATATGATAAACAACATATTGACATGTTGGAGTAAAAATTTATGTCTAAGTAATATACATTAATCAAAATTAAATCCAGTTTGTGTGAGAATTAGACATTATTATTTATATATATGTGTATATATATATATTTTTTTTTTTTTGCCCACACCCCGTCGCTCCTTCTCAGTCTGATCTCCCCTTCCCCCATGCCCCACCATGTCATTAATTGTCATTGTCTTCATATCAAAGTTGAGTACATAGGATTCTTACTTCTCCATTCCTGTGATGCTTCACTAAGAATAATGTGTTCCACCTCCATCCAGGTTATTACAAATGCTGTAAAATCTTCATTTTTTTGATGGCTGAATAATACTCCATAGTGTACTTTGTATGAATTTTTAAAAATTGTTAGAAACTTAGAGATTTATAAAATAATTACAGTTAACTGTGTGACACCTGGTATGCTACATGCTTCATGTGTATTATTTAATTTTCACAACTGAGGAAGGTACTATGTATATTTTGCAGACGACACTGAGTAGTATGAGGGAGATTAGGGCACATGGCTAGTAGAGCACAAAGCTAGGCCAGCATGGAAACCTTGGTCTGTCTCGACTTCACAGCCCAAGCTCTGCAACACTGCATTACACATACTACTGCTTCTTAAGTATGGAGTTTGTTAAAAAGATTACTACTCTAGGTGACCTGGTTTTGCAATTTATTCTTTCTGTGACTTTGGACAGGTCTTTTTCTCCCTATCTGAAAATGAGGGATGGTCTCCTTGTTTAATTGACAAGATCTTTGTGTCAAATGAGACAATTCTAATGAAAGTACTTAGAAAAGTAAAGTGATGTAAATAGAAGTCAATATTATTAATTCCATGGGGTGGTGGTCAATTGGGAGAGTTGGGAAATCTTTACTGTCTTCTAAAATTCTTTGCTTACTTTCAAAAGGATAAAGGAAAAACAAGATTCTAGGATATGTGAACACAAAAACTTAAAAATTACAGAAACGGAGATCCTGTAAATACTATATAATAAACCTTAGCTAAACCTTCTGGAAGTTTTTTAAGTGACAGACATTAAAATGCAGACAAGTTCTTTTGTTGTTCTTTGAGCTGTACTTAGTGCCTAAATTGATTGTAGGGCTGGTTGTAGGTGTCTTTATGCATGTAGTTGAAGGAGTTTAAAATCTAATGGATTCCCTCCCTTTTTTTTTTCATTAAAGATGACTTGTCATTAATTCGGAAGAATAGAATGGCTCTCTTTCAGCGGTTGACATGTGTGCTTCCTATCCTGGATAATCTTTTAAAGGCCAATGTAATTAATAAACAGGAACATGATATTATTAAACAAAAAACACAGATACCTTTACAAGCAAGAGAACTGATTGATACCATTTTAGTGAAAGGAAATGCTGCAGCCAACATCTTCAAAAACTGTCTAAAAGAAATCGATTCTACGTTATATAAGGACTTATTTGGTGAGTTTCTTGAGAGAATTATTTTAGAAATCCTTAGGATTATGTCTATCCCTTTGATTGCCAAGCAAAATAAATCTAATTATCAAACTATATATTTTACCTGTTCCAAAAGAGTGAAGTCTTTTATTATCCAGGTAGTGGCCTAAATGTAACAATCTAATAATTTCATAGCTAGAATCTGTATCATTTAATAGGTACTGGGTGGAAAAAAAAAATAGCCAGGGAAGCAGTTTTGTATTTCGTAGAGTCATGCTTCTTATGTATTTGTTTTCTTTCCTCAGTGGATAAGAATATGAAGTATATTCCAACAGAAGATGTTTCAGGTAAGACAAAATTAAGACTTAAAATCAACACGAAATATTATTCTTATTTTTTTAATGGGATATAAAATGGAGACTGAATTTCACTAAAGTTATTTTTGTTATTAGGTCTGTCACTGGAAGAACAGTTGAGGAGGTTACAAGAAGAAAGAACTTGTAAAGTGTGTATGGACAAAGAGGTTTCCATTGTATTTATTCCTTGTGGTCATCTGGTGGTGTGCCAGGAATGTGCCCCTTCTCTAAGAAAATGCCCCATTTGCAGGGGTATAATCAAGGGTACTGTTCGTACATTTCTCTCATAAAAGAAAAATAGGCTGTATCTTAAGTTATATAGAAAAGTATTTAACATATTGTTGAACATACAATGCTATTTGAATGAACCATTGGTTCTTTAGTTAGTAACATTTGTGTTGTAATCTGCTTTGGTACTAATAATCTTATTTCTAAACAGGTAGTTTATATCATATTTAATCTTAACCTGTGTATTTACAAGAGAGGATTTATGTTTGATGAGCTACATAAGTGTATATTGTTATCTGTCACTTTAGGTGTTACTGGATTTGGTATTCCTTCTGAAAGCTTTGAGTACCACTGCCACAATATAGGATAGAGTAAAAGAACTGGAAATGTAAACTCTGAAGTTCAGTTACTATGCCAAATTCTTTTTGGCACTTTTCACATATGTTATAAAATAAGGATTTTTCTCTTCCTAGTAAATAAGTTCCCCTATTCTCCCTTAGTTTGTGAGAACATCTTAATAAAGTACTTTAAAAAGAGTATACCATCAAAATGTTTTTTCTGTCCTGATTTAAAAATTAATTTTCTTGTGTCTTCATTGTACTTTACTCAAATGCTAGCTATTCAGAGTTAAATTTATGAAACAAATTACTAAGAAATATTTTTGGGCTGGGCGCAGTGGCTCACACTTGTAATTGTAGCAGTCTGGGAGGTTGACGTGGGTGGATTGCTTGACCTGAAGAGTTCAGACCAGCCTGAGTAAAAGAGCAAGATCTGGTCTCTACTGAAAACAGAAAAATCAGCCAAGCATGGCAGTGTACACCTATACTTGGGAGGCTCAGGCATGAGGATCACTTGAGCCCAAGAGCCTAAGATTGCTGTGAGCTAGGATGATGCCACAGCACTCTACCCAGGGCAACAGAGCTAAGACTCTGTCTCAAGGCTCGGTGCCTGTGGCTCAAGCAGCTAAGGTGCCAGCCACATACACCTAAGGTGGCGGGTTCAAATCCCTAGCCCAGGCCCGCCAAACAACGATGGCTGCAACCAAAAAATGGCTGGGTGTTGTGGTGGGCGCCTGTAGTCCCAGCTACTTGGGAGGCTGAGGCAGGAGACTCACTTGAGCTCAGGAGTTGGAGGTTGCTGTGAGTGTGATGCCACAGCACTCTACCCAGGGGGATAGCTTGAGGCTCCGTCTCAAAAAAAAAAAAAAAAAGACTCTGTCTCAAAAAAAATATATATATATATGTATATGTATGTATATATGTGTGTGTGTATATATATATAATATATTATGTGATTTATGAAAATGCCTTCAGATGACAGTCTTGTTGCTCTGTATTTTATAGACATAATAGTATTTCATGAAATATGTATCAGTTTCAAAAAACTTTTAATAAACTTGGATAAATTGCCATTCAGAAAATGGCATAATTGCTTTGTTGCCTAGATGTGAGGAGGTGTGGGGTACAGGCAGTGGTAAGTGCCTTCTTCTGGACCCAGTCATATTTGACCTTTCCCAGATCTGACTCTGTGGCAGAATTCTCAGGCCAGGTGGACAAGAAGGTCTAATAGAAAAAAGTGTGCATTTTTCTTTTTACTTGATAACTCTGTGGATCCCTTTAAATACAGAACACACTGGGAAGGGCAGCTGAAAATTTCTCCATTCTCCAGTCTCTTCCCTTCTATTTGAGGCAGGATATACCCTGATGAACTGATACATGATCCATGTGTGCGCACACTTGGTTTTAAGACTTGAGAGAATCTCTCCCTGCCATTATAGAGAGAATGTAAAAGAAATTTTTTGCCCACATTTAATAGGCTTAGAAAAATGTGAAAACATTTCTCTTTTTTTTTTGTCTTCCATTCTGGACCTTTTGTATAGATTCTTCCCTTTAGGAGTCCAATTAGAAGTCTTTAGTCAAAACAGCTCAATATGTCTACATCACAGCACTAATACCCTTTGTTGTAATGGGATGCTAATTTTTTTAGAAATTATTATTTTTTTCCTTTTTTTTTTTTTGCCAGAGATGGTCTTGTTCTGTCACCCAGGCTGAAGTACAGTGGTGCAGTCACAGCTCACTGCAACCTCGAACTCCTGGGCTCAAGCAATTCTCCCACCTCAGCCTCTCAAGTAGCTAGGACTATAGGTGTACACCCACCTGGCTAATTTTTAAAAAATTTTTTTACAGAGACAGTGTCTTGTGATGTTGCTTAGGATAGTCTCAAACTCTTCACTGCAAGTGATCCTCCTGGCTTGGCCTCTCAAAGTGCTGGAGTTACAGGCACAAGTCACTGTCCCAAGCCTCTTTTTTCTTAATGATAGCTACTGTATTGATGATCTACTGTACGCTAGGCACAGTGTTAGATTCTTTAAATAACAGATGTGCTATAGGTGATAGTCCCCAAATTTGCATGTTGAAGTACTAATCCCCAGTACCTTAGAGATGTGCACGGGTTTAGAAATAGAGCTTTTAAAGAGGTAATTAAGGTAAGTGAGATCATATGGGTGACCCCTAATCAAATATGACTGCTATCCTTCTAAGAAGAGATTAGGATCCAGACACACAGAAGTGCAACCATGTGAGGACACCTGACACAAGCCAAGGACAGAGGATGTAAGAAACCAAATTTGCCAATACCTTGATGTTGGACTTCTCGTCTGAACTGTGACTAAATAAATCTCTGTTTAAGCTACCTAGTCTTTGGTACTTTGTTATATAGCAAAGTAACACAAGTTGCTAGAGCAGGGGTCCTTAAACTTTTTAAACGGGGCCAGTTCACTGTCCCTCAGACTGTTGCAGGGCCAGACTGCAGGCTCCAGGATGAGTCGGCTGCTAAGCAGGACAGGCAGCGGCAGCAAAAACACTTGGCGGGCCAGATAAATGTCCTCAGTGGTGGCCGCATGTGGCCTGTGGGCCGTAGTTTGAGGACGCCTGTGCTAGAGACTTTAAACCACATTATCTCTGATCCTGTCAACAATTTTGCAAAGTAAAATTTGAATATGTTGTGAACAGTGCTTCCATGAATTTTTATGTACAAATATTTTTGAGTACTGTTTTAAATTCTTTTAGAGATGTACGTATATTTCTAGGAGTGGCATTGCTGGGTCAGATAGTAATTCCATGTGACTCATTGAGAAGAATTGCCACGTTGTTTTTCATACGGCTGATGCACCATTCATTTTACTCCCCCCAGCAATGTACAAGGGTTTTTATTTCTCCATATCCTGCCAACACTTTGCTTTTTAAAAAAAATAACATTCTAGTGGATATGAAGTGATATCTCATTGTGGCTCTGACTTGCATTTCCTTAATAGCTAATGATGTTAAATATCTTTTCATGTGCTCCTTGGCATTCATATGCCTTCCTTGGAGAAATGTCTGTTCAGTCTTTTGTCCATTTTTAAATTGGGTTGTCTTTCTGTTGTTTAATTGTATGTTCTTGACATATTTTACATATGAGACTCTTATCAGATGTATGATTCGCAGATATTTTCTTGCATCCTTTAGGTTCTCTCTTTACTTTTTGATAATGTCCTTTGATGTAAAAATTTGGTTTTTAATTTTGATGAACTCTAGTTTATCTAGGGTTCTTTTGTTTGTTTGCTCACGCTTTCAGTGTCATATCTAAGTATCCATTACTAATTAAAAGCCATGATGATTTATCCCTGTATATTCTTTTTAAGAGTTTTATAGTTTGGCTTTTATATTTAGATGTTGACTTAAGACATCATATATGGTATTAGGTAGGAACCAACACCAGTCTTTTGCATGTGGATACCTAGTTGCCTCATCACCATCTTTTTAAGAGACTATTCTTTTCCCAGTGAATGGTGCTGGCACTCCATCAGAAATCCATTAGCCATTTGGGTTTACTTCTGTGTGCTCAGTTCAATTCCACTGGGCTGTATTTCTATCCTATGCAATTACCACACTTTTTGGATAGTAAGTTTTTTAATTGGGATGTGTGAGTCTTCCAACTTACTGTTCTTTTTCAGCCTAGAGTGCTGTAGTGTTATAGCTCACAGCAACCTCAAACTTCTGGGCTCAAGCGATCCTCTTGCCTCAGCCTCTCAAGTACCAGAGATGAAAGGCCCCTGCCACAACACATGGATAGTTTCTCTGTTTTTTTGTAGACAGGGTCTCACTCTTGCTCAGGCTGGTCTTGAACTGAGCTCAAGCAATCCACCCACCTCAGCCTCTCAGAGTGTTAGGACCACAGATGTGAGGTACTGCGCCCAGCCTACCACATTTTCTTTATCCATTCATCCGATGATGGACGGTTAGGTTGATTCCATATTTTGGCTATTGTGAATAATGCAACAGCGAACATGGGAATAAGCATCTTTCTTCAACATACTGATTTCAGTTCTGTGTAAATACCCAGAAGTGGGATTGCTGGGTCATATGGTAGTTCTATTTTAAATTTTTTGAGTAAATTCCATACTGTTTTCCATAATGGCTGTACTAATTTACATTCCTACCAACAGTGTCTAAGAGTTCCCTTTTCCCTACACCCTCACCAACAGTTGATATCTGTCATCTGCTTTTTGATAGCCACTCTAACGGGTGTGAGGTGATACTCTGTGGTGGTTTTGTCTTTCTGTGATTAATGATGTTAAGCATTTTTTTCATGTACTTCTTGGCCATTTGTATGTTTTCTTTTGAAAAATGTCTATTCAGAATATTTCCTATTTGTTAAAAGGATTATTTTTAAACTATTACATAAGTTCCATATATATTTTTGGCCATTAACCCCTTATCAGTTGTGCATGTATGGTTTGCAAATATTTCTTCCCATTCTGTAGGTTGTCTCTTTACTCTTGAGATAACAGCTTAAGTTGTTTATGGGAACTCTTTTTTCTTTTTTGACATAGGCATTTATTGCTATAAACCAGGGGTGTCCAATGTTTTTTTTGTTATGCCACATATTGGGAGAGTAAGTATTGTCTTGGGCCACAGTTTAAATACACAAACACTAATGACAGCTGATTGGCAGAAAAAAATGTCTGTGTATACTTTTTGTGATATCTGACACCACAGATAAGCAAACTACGTCCTCACAAAATCACGCAACCCAGAGGCCACAGGTTGGATACCCTTGCTGTAAACCAGGCGTCCTCAAACTACGGCCTGCGGGCCACATGTGGCCCGATCTGCCAGGTGTTTCTGCCACCGCTACCTGTCCTGCTTAGCAGCCGACTGGTCCAGGGGCCCGCAGTCTGGTCCTCCAACGGTCTGAGGGACAGTGAACTGGACCCCTGTTTAAAAAGTTTGAGGACCCCTGCTGTAAACTTGCCTCTTATAGCTGCTTTTGCTGCATCCTTCAAGGTTTGGTGTGTTGTGTTTGTCTCAAGATATTTCTAAATTTATGTTTTTTTGGAGACAAGAGTCTTTGTTGCCCCCTGGTAGAGTGCCCTGGCATCATAGTTCCCAGCTACTTCAGACTCTTGGGCTCAGGTGATCCTTTTGCCTCAGCCTCCAGAGTAGCTGAGACTACAGGCGCCTGCCTGCCAAAATGCCCAGCTACTTTTTAGAGATGGGGTTTCATTCATGCTCAGGCTGGTCTCAAAATTCCTGAGTGCAAGGGATCCACCTGCTTTGGCCTCCCAGAGTGCTAGGATTATAGGCATGAGCCACCACGCCTGGTGATATTTCTAAATTTCTCTTTTAATTTCTT